CCTCCTCCTCCTCCTCCTCCTCCTCCTCCTCCTCCTGCTCCTGCTCCTCCTCCTCCCCCGACCCTGCTTGGCAACAGAGCAGCCCCAGACCCCCGACGATCTGGACGCGTCCATGTTGTAGCGCTGCCAACTGCAGGGGAACAGGCAGTGGCGTAAAGAGCAAGCAAAGGCATAAACACAGGAGAACAGGCAATTGCACGAACTGTTACAAGCAATCTAGAAACAAACAACGGCATAAACATAAACTGTCGGAGGTCCGCGCGGACTTCCCGGACTTGCGCTGGGGCCCCCTGGCGGCGCCTCCGGCGCCGCGCGCCAGGGAGGGGGGTCCAGACACGATCCAAGAAATCTGCGCGGACCTCCGAGTTGTTATGCTTATTTCATCGCTTATTCGCTACACGCACACATCCGTGCTGGCGGGAACGCAGTGTGACCCTCTCGGGAGCCTTCGGCGAGAGCCCTCGGGAGCCCAGCGGGGCTGGTGTGACCCCGTGCTGGCCCCGTGACCCAACAGGGCTGTGTGACCCAATGTTGGCCATGACCGCCGCTCCAACACAGAGCCCTTAAGAACAACATGGACGGCGGCATATGTTGTTTTCCCATCGCGGCGTTTTCCTTCATTCCGACCACCCCCCCTGACTTCGGATCCGACGTACTCTGGTCGATAACCCGACTGAGAACTGTGTCGGACATGCACTCCAAAAGGTGCGAACAAGTAAGGCAAAGGCTTCCGTCTCGAAAGATTCGGGCGGACATCTCCGCAAGGGCACGGCGGAAACAGCGACGGCAAACTTGCGAAATCGCCCACGGCGGATCTGGAGTCGGGGCCCGGAGAGGAAGGGGGCGGGAGCTCTGCGGCCGCGGATGGACAACGTCATTGAAGGGGCCCTAGGACACACAAATAAATACACACAAATAACGGGATTCCCCATATTTTCCTGGGGATCGACGATTAATCGTGTCTGTTTTTTTCCCCCTCCTGAGTCATATCGGCGGAGGTCGACCGCAGGCCCTGAGGGAAACGGGTCCTATGGACCCCTTCCCCCAGCACCAGCTCCTGAGCCGCTCTCGAAGGGTCCCCGGGGCCCAGGGAGGGCCCCTTGGGGGCCGCAGGCGGCGAAAAACCTCAGGAGCCGATTCGCTCGGGACCCCTCCCCTTCATTCATGGGCCTGTTTTCCACCACCACTACCACCACCACCACCACCACCACCACCACCACCACCACCACCACCACCATAAGCTGGAGGGGGAGGTCCTCCTCCTCCTCCTCCTCCTCCTCCTCCTCCTCCTCCTCCTCCTCCTCCTCCTCCTCCTCTTCGTCCTCCTCCTCCTCCTCCTCCTCCTCCTCCTCTTCCTCCTCCTTCCCCCTCCAACTTATAGTGGTGGTGGCGGAAAACAAGCCCATCAGTCGTGGCGGCCTGTACTCGATGCGCAGCTGGTCGTGCCAGTCCGTCCTGGCGCCCGGCGCCGGCCGGAACGGGGCCCACGAGAGGACCACTCGGCGCACGCCGTGCGCCGCGCCGGCGGGCATCTCCTCGGCGTCCCAGAGCTCCTCCGCCACCTCCCAGGGGCAGCGGCGAGCGTGGCGGCTGAGGGGGCCCCCCTGGGTGAACCTCCAGCCGGCGACCCACCCAGTCGGCGACCCCGCCCATGACCCCCACCCCCCCTGTGATTCGACTCGGTTCGATTCGCGCTCGGTCTCGGACCAGTCTCCGTGCCCATGTGGGCGCGAACGTTCGGGCCGTCGCCTCTCTGTGAAACGCCACCTGATTAGAACGGGGTCCGACAGTCAGCATGGGAAAAAAAGCGTGCATCGCTGGCGTCGTGGTGCATGCTGATGTCACGTCTTGCAGGCCTGGCTCTCCGCGCTGGTGCTCCTCCCCCCCCTTTGTGACCCACCAGAACTCCCAGGCCGTGGGTTCTGCACGGCGTGGACCCCTGGAGGTCTGGATCCCACCTCCTCGAAGCTGCTTCGGGTGGGGAGCCAGAGAGCCAAAGAGGTAACCAACTACCCCTGATATGAAACCCCTGCGGAACAAAACGTTCGGGGTCCAGGGGGGGATAATGAAACGCTTTCCTGGCAGATCGCATAATAAAGACGTCGATGATGATGATGATGATGATGATGATGATGATGATGATGATGATGATGATGATGCTGATGATGCTGATGATGCTGACGATCATGATGCTGATGTTGATGCTGTGATGACGCTGCTGCTGATGTTGATGATGATGGTGGTGATGATGATGACGATGATGACGATGATGACGATGATGATGATTATCATTATGCTGATGTTGACGTTGATGTTGATGCTGATGATGTTGATGATGATGCTGATGGTGGTGATGATGATACAGATGCTGATGCTGATACTGATGCTGGTGATGACGATGATGACGATGATGACGATGACGATGACGATGACGATGACGATGACGATGACGATGACGATGACGATGATGATGATGATGATGATGATGATGATGATGATGATGATGATGATAATGATGATGATGATGATGATGATGATGATGATGATAATGATGATGATGATGATGATGATGATGATGATGATGATGATGATGGTGACGCCGCTACTCCCCAGACCTCTCCCGGGGTGCGTTCGGACCAGGATTTCGAGGCGAATCCAGCGGTGGCGACGAGGGCCTCCCAGGAAGCCGAGAAAGGGGAAAACGAGGCAGGGGTAGAGGTATGGGTAATTAGCTTTTCCTCCTCCGTGACTAGGACCCCCAGAGGCCAAAAATGACCAAAATGCATCCGTCGCGATCTTGTGACGATGGGAGGACATTCGGCTTTCGGGCCACAACTCCGGACTCTGGCGGCCGCTCGGGACGATCCGCGGGCACCCCCGGAACGCCCTCAGCAAAGGGTAGCTGCTGGAGAGCATCCCGAGGCCTGAAAACCTACTCTAGGTTTCTTAATAAGCGTGGGGGGGTAACTCCCCGACGGGGTCAACCTCGCCTCGTCGTCGCGCCGCGACGGGGGTCGGAGCGCCTTCGGCGCGCGGTGGCTGCCTGCGACGGGGGTCGATGTGGGTATTAAGAAACTCGGAGTAAGGGAATCGACGAAAACGTCAGACAACTTGGCGGCGCGCACAAGGGGGTAGGGGGAGGGGGGAAGGCTTCTTGGCACGAAGCCGCGTCTTGAAGGCGCGGGCCTTCTCTGCAGATGTAAGGCCCGCGCCTTCTAAGTAGCAGCCCCCTTTCTAAAAGAAGCCTTCCGTCCTCCTGCTACCCCCCTCTGCGCGCCGCCAAACAACCTCGAAGCTCGAACCTCGTCCGTCGTGATGTTTGCTGCGGGAATAAGAACCCTGACGCCCACCGACGTGACGTCTCCCATCCGCGGCCCAGGCCTCCCGTCCACTTCCCCTGGGTGCAACTTGCTTGTCCCGGAGCGGTCCAGGGGCCCGGCAACGGCCCACGAGGGCCCGAACCGATGAAACATGGCAGGGTTGAACAAACACAGCTCGTCGGAGATCTGCTCTATCCTCGGATCCGCCGTACGTTGGGCGATGTCGCGAGTAGGGCGGGAAGCTCCGCCTTGCTTTTCGAGGTCCTTTGACGTCGATTTCTGCTCCGCTTTGCCGTCGCTGTTTCAGCCATACCTTGGCGGCGATGTTCGCCCCTACATCTCTGAGGCGGAAAAAATCCTCCCTACTTTTTCGAATTTTTTGGGGGTGCATTTCTGCCACATGTTGGAATCTTGAGCAGGGACCGACCGTCCGGGCATTCCTATAGGCCTACCACGACATGTTCTTAGAACCCCAAAATATGTTCTAATAGCAAGAACAATGTTCTTAGACCAGATCCCCGATGTGTCAAAACAAGACAGTCTCTGACAGAAATGTTCTAAGAACATTTCGTGGAAACCACAGAAGGTTCTCAGAACATTGTTTGGTAGGCCTATAGGCACGCCAGGACGCTTCGCCACTGCTTGAGAATCGGAAGATCTGCCAAAGCACGGTGGATCCGCAGTCAGGATGCAGAGAGGCGGTGCTATGGGGTTTGGAGGCGGCCGAGGGGGCCTGAACTGCATGGGGCCCCGGAAAGTCGATGATGAGAAGGGACGGAGTCAACTCGGTTCAAACATCTGTCCCCAAGGCCCCTCCTGAGAATACGTCTGGTGCAAATTTTCACTTCCAAGGCCCGAAAAAGGCCCCACAGCGGCCGGAAGAGGGAGGACACCTCCTCCACATCCTCGAGCCCGAAAACGGCCCCCAGAGGCCGAAAGAGGAAAACCTCCTCCACAACCTCGAGCCCGAAAGCGGCCCCCGGAGGCCGAAAGAGGAAACCTCCCCCACAACCTCGAGCCTCTTCCCTCTTCCCCCCCGTTCCTGCTGGCCGCAGCCAGGGTTGGGCCGCCCCAGACCCCAAGCCGGCTCCAAGCGGGGGTGGCGCCCCCCACCCCCCCTTGGCCGTGCCCCCGCACGCCGATCGGGCCCTCGTTCATAGCACCAGCCATCACGGAGGTCAGGACCCGATGCGTCCCAAGTGCCGAGTGCTCGTGGGCTGGATGCCGCCAAGCGCGGGAAGACTCTTGAAGCCCCCTCCTCGAACGCCGATCGAGCCCGTTCAAACGGGTCGCCCTCCCGAGCCTCCAGCGAGGCCCCCGCGGCCGGGACCTCCTTCCCCCTCCTCTCTCCTTCCCCTCCTCTCACGCTTCTCCACCTCGTCCTCCTCGTCCTCAACCTCCTCTTCCTCCTCCCCCTCCTCCTGTTTCTCCTCCTCCCTCCTCCTCCTCCTCCTCCTCCTCCTCCTCCTCCACCACCTCCTCCCCCTCCCCCTCCTCCTCCTCCTCCTCCTCCTCCTCCTCCTCCTCTCCTCCTCCTCCTCCTCCTCTTCCCGCGAGACGTCGGATTCGGGGAAGGTCCGCGCGGACTTCTTGGATCGGCGCTGGGCCCTCCTCCTCCTCCTCCTCCTCCTCCTCCTCCTGCCTCCTCCTCCTCCTCCTCCTCCCCTCATCCTCATCCCA